CTTTTCCTGGATAGTCTCTTTCCAAAAACAGAAGATCGCATTAAGTGGAGAAACTGTTTTGGAAGAGACTGTGGACCTGTCGTCTGACAGATTACTGTTGATGATGATGATGACCTAGGTAGGTATATATATCACGTGGAGTTGTGAAATCCTGTGGCCAATGAGATATGTATAAAAACAACACATTGTTATCCGTCGCCTAGAATGGTTTGATGGTAGGATTAGGAGATACCTCGTAAAATATCTTAGAATAATCGCTAATCCAGTCGAGACTCGAACCGTGTGCCATCCGTTTGTAAGACCAAACCCTGCTCGGTGACCTACTGTTATATCGAGTTTGTTGGCTGATAGTCGTCTCACATGATAACAAGTTGAAAATATTTCAGAGGCGTTTAATTCATTAACCGGCCTCATTTGACTCCATTACGAGGGCGGTAATTGGTTCTTAGAACTGTTACTGCAATCTGTCACTGAGGAAACTGGAAGCTGTACCTCTCACCCTCGCTGTACTGGCTCAGATGTGGTCAAAGTCCCCTATCAGTAAGTTGGTTCTAGCGGTAATACCTCTGACTTGCGTTCAGTAGGTTCTCGTTCGAATACAGACCGGGACATGCAAGCAGGGACCTGCGTAAATTTACTGAATGTCGTCGTGCTCTTCTCCTCAACATCCAGACCTACTCTGAAACCGACACAGCCTCCTATTCAATGCGTAACGGGTAATTTTTACCAATTTTTTTATTTGTGTACGGTTTATTTAGGGAGCTGGAATAGCTCAGACTGGACTACCGAGGAATCGGAAAGCTCTTCAAGGACAAGTGTCCAGACCAGCTCTGGGGCCCACAGAGCCTCCTGTTCAGTGGGTATCCAAGACAGTTTATCTGGGGAATATAGAAGTATCTAGTGCCGAGGTTAAGATTGATGGACCTTTATCTCCACTCCGTATTCTTTCATGGCGTGTTGCTTAATTAATTAAGCGCAGGGATTTTACTTTTTAGCCTACTCTCTTTACTGGGAAGTCCAAAGGGTAGGTGAGTGGACAATATTAAAAGGGATCTTAGAGAGGTAGGATGGGATGGTATGGATTAATTGATTTGTCTCAGGATAGGGACCAGTGGAGGGCTGTCGTGAACACGACAATGGACATTCGGATTCATTAAAATGCTGGGAAGTTCTTGAGTAGCTGCACAATTGGCAGCTTCTCAAGAAGAGCTCAGCTCCATGAGTAAGTAAGTAAGTACGCCTACTCTCTTTATTTTAAAAAAATAAAAGGGGGCTTATGAGATCACCTTGCTGTCGATCTGTCTGTTTATCCCTCTTTCCTAATTTTTGTTAGGAGGGTTGTGAGATCATCTTGCTCTTTGTGTGTCCTTCCTTATTTTTTCGTTTTCTATGCGGTCCGTGTCGTATCAAAGAAAGTACATGGGCCATTAGTTGTTGCCAGAACTTATTGTTATTTTGTAGTTCATTTAATGAACTACTAATGTTATGTTAATAGCTCAGGATGAGTATTGAATCATAAGATGATAAGTGAATATCATATTGTAAATTACATGGAAGGAAGCGGTCGTGGCCTAATATGAGATAATACATATCCTGGAAGTTGCCTGGAGAGACAGAGAAGAAACGCAAACAGCCATAATTAGGTTATTCCGTCTCCGGACCGAGTGTCGAACACGGTACCTTTCGAGTACGAAGCAGCACTAGACCGATACACACTCAGCCTTGTCTCTCGGTAGGGTGCCTGAAGGTGGCCGCTCACGGACGTGTAGTGCCGAAATTGAGATTGCTGGAGCCGTAACTACTCGTATGTGCCCATTATGTCTTTATGACGTGATGCTTATGCACTGCTACAAATTGACCTCATTCACCAAATTGAGTCCGTTGCTAACTGGATTTTCAGCGTGATCAACCCAACGACTGGGAGTGCAGCGGTATCATACAGTGGCAAGTTGTGTTTGTATTGGTAGTTGTCTTTATGTTCTTCAGCGTCAGATGCAGAAATATGGGAGGCTGGAGAATACTGCATAATGAAGAGCTCCATAACTTTTACTGTTCTCCAGATATAATTAGAATATCAATTCAAAGAGAGCTCAGTCGGTATAGCGACAGACTATGGGGTGGGCGGCCGGGGTTCGATCGCCGGCAGGGGCAAGATTTTTATTCTCCATAGCGTGTAGATCGGCTCTGGGGCCCACTCAGCCTCCTATCCAATGGGTGCCGGCGGCAAAGCGACCGGGGCGTGAAGCTGACCATTCACCTCAATCTAATGCCAAGATTAAGGTCAAGGAGGATATAAGATATAAGGACATGTGACACTCATGAGGAGAAGATAGATGCATATAGGATTTTGGTGGGGAAACCAGAAGAAAGGGACCACTGGGAAGACGTGGACGTAGACGGGAGGGTAATATTAAAATGGATCTTCGAGAAATATGCGATGGAATGGACTGGATTAATGAGTTTCAGGATAAGGACCAGTGAAAATCTTTTTATGAACACGGTAATGAACCTTCGGGTTCGATAAGAATGCTGGGAAATTCTTGAGTAGCTGGAAAACTGGCGGCTTCTGAAAAGGGGCTCAGCTCCATGGA